TTTCCCTGTGAACTAAACACTAATGGTAGTGTGGGGTAGTGGCTAATGTATCGAAACTATACGCGGAATTGCCAAAACCTGGGTTCGAGTACCACTAAAGTACGAGGTCGAGCGAGGTCTAATCGGGAGTCTACTCCAGCCTGGATGTGAAAACCTTTTGGAAAGCAAGGGTATGAGAACTTCGATGGAAACTTTAGGCATATTCATATGAGTGTTGGACAAATAAACTATCAACCTTAATCACCTTGAACATTATAGGATGAATAAATGTTTTATATATCAAAAACCGGTTTATAGACAAAAAGGGTAAAGTAGGCTTGAACTTGTCTTCGCAACTCATTCGTAGCTACATGTAGACATTGTTGAACGTAACTATTCTTGCGTCCTTCACTAGAATATATTCGTGATTTCTAGCATCGGACCCTTTCCACAAGGAGTCTCTGTCACTCCGACCAAGTTGCAAAAACGTCGTCAAACCTACACTATACAGCTGAAGGAGACTATAATCAAACATAAGGCCACACTTCATCTTCATATCTACGATACACAGTAGAAGTTCATGAATGTTTGTAGATATTGCGAATAGATCTTCGCAGCGCGGTGCGCCGAAGACCTATGAGCACAAACATACAATCACAGCTCAAAGGCAACCTCTCCACAGTCTCAGGTGAAATCAACTTATGAATCCCTTTAACTCGCCTCCTTAAACAAAAGGAAAGGTATTCCAACATGCATCTATTAAGGGATTCTTTAAAACCAAGTTTTTCTAAATACCTGGATATGTCTGTTTTGACTAGTATTCCGGCATCGCTTTTCTTCTTCTCTAACTCCTATTGCTTGTCGTCTCATACCTGCTCACCTGTCCATAAACTTATATTCTACATTTTTGTCCACTTTTCAACAAAACCACCCTACAGGCATATTTTTGCTAGATCAACTCGGCCTTTTGAGCATAGCAACTGTGCTGGCTGTGTTCAACAACAAGTTGCACTATTCGCAGGCCATCTCCGGCTGGTCTGACGTGTTGCACATTCTGTCGGGCAGTTCAACAGCGTCCGGATTTGAGTCACCTTTGCTGTCCACTAAGTCGCACGGCAACAGTCTCCTCCCTCTCAGCTCGGCTTGCCGACTCGCCTGCCCCTCATCGGCCAGAAGTCCGGTCTGTAGGCAGGCCCGTGATGGCCGAGTCCATCACACGTTGACCGGTTGCTATAGCTCCAGATCTGCTGCTGCCAACGTCTCCCAGGGCTGCTGGCATCAGCAGGAAAAACGGCATTTCAGCTGTGAACCCTACTACGAGGACGGCAAGACAGACGAACATCTTGTGGCTCTGGCGAAATTGTTGTCAAGGCAACCCTCTAATAAGGCTGATGGCAATTGTATTGGATTGGAGGCCAGTATGAGGGTGGGCGAGAACCACGGCAACCACGGCTTCTCCATGCACCGTCCAGGAGTAAGGGCAAACTCGCAACAACCGTCGCATCGATACCAACGACACCTGCACAACTCCGGCAAACTCTGGAGCATTAGTTCGTCTGAGGGTCCACCTCGCAGTCGTCATGGCGGCCAGCCGAAGCAGCCGTTTCCGCACCACCGCGACTGTCGTCTTGCCGGCCTCAGCCAGCCTGCAGATTCATCCTGTTCCTACACGGCCTGTTCCGGCGTCAGTGTGTGCCGAAATAAGAGTTTTCGTGAGGCCGACATGACGCCCGACAACTCGAAGGCCTCATCACATTCACCCTCGCCGTCGCCATCGCCGTCGCCGTCGCCGTCGCCGTCGGCATCGTCGTCGCCGTCGGCTTCGCCTTCCCAATCGGTGCTGGAATCACAGGCCTCCTATTCGCCCTCATCGGCCAACTTTGTCCTTCCACTCCCTTCCATGGCCAGTCCGCTCGCCTCTCCCGTGCGCAACATGTACACGCACACACAGATGCACATGCACGCCTTGCCGACCAACCCACTGTACAGGTCTGAGCCTCCCTATAACCTTCACGCCTCCTCACTGGTATCCTCTTCAGGTCAGCATCCGTTGCCACCGCAACCGCAACCGCAGTCGCCGCCTTCGCAGACGCCGTCCATCGCGCAGATGAAGCCACCAAACCGGCCGGTCAGTCGCACCAGCGTCCGTCGAGGCCAATCTCAACGGACGCCGCAGCCCACTCAGCCGGTCAGACCGGTGATTGTCGGCCGAGTCGGTTACATGAACAGACGGACTTCCGGTAGATCGTCTGCCATCAACAGTCGGTCCGACTCGACGTCGTCATCGACGGGTCGAGGCGACAGCGATCATGAGGCTGGGACAAAAGAGACGAACCGACCAAGCATTGGACTCAAACGTCTCACACCGCCTGGCAGGGCGACGCGAAGACGAGTCGAAGATGAAACGACGAGAATCGGCGATGTAGCCGAAGATGGGCCGGACTCTGAGGAGGACGGCTCAGACGAAGACGAGTGGTGCCAATCTCGAGAAGGCCAATCAAGCCTGACGACGGTCAGAAGGCAGCACAGACATAAAAGTGAGACTGTCAAGGCGACGGCAAATCACGTCAACTCAGCTGCCTTGCCTCATCCGAACCCCGTTGCCCACTCGTCGGTGTCGGCAGTGTCGGCAAGACGAACTTCACACCGTCATCACACCTCAACTGCCGATCCCTTCAAACAGGTGGTCGGCGCAGCCACCACCGGATGCTCTACATGTTGCCGACCGGCCGACTCGATCGCCTCGGAGGCTTCAAGTCGGCCGCCCGAGGCTGTATCCGCTGTGAAGACGCGCAACGACGCAGCCTCACCTCGAGCCACATTAAACCTGAGTCCGAGTCCGGCTTGGCCTGTCGTTCCGAGGCTGAAGATGTGCCGAGCCGATCGCAGGCAGTCTCGCGTCGACTGGCAGGTTGGACTCATCACAAGAGCCGCGACAGCCGCTGCCACGGCAGCAGTTGCCGCCAGCTACCGCCTCAAAATGGCGCCCGGGACTACCGGTTGTCAAGGCAGGGTAGATGTGATTCGAGGCGGTCTACGGGCACGTATGAAGCGGCGAGCTCATGGCCTCTTCATTCGTGACGCCTCCTGTCTCTGTCCGCTCCCTTTTGAGGCCGAGGAAGAGCTGGATCCGATTGACGACGACGACGACAGTGACGATGGCGACGATGACAATGGCGACAAAGAAGATGAAGCGGAAGATACGCTGAAACTGGCTAAAAAGTTGCACGGAGGCTCGGGCCACTGTCCCCGGGCCCATGAGGAGACGAGCTGTACAATGCCGGCTCCCATCTGCCGCATTTGTCGGTCTGTCGGCCATCAAGTCTCCGGCCAGTCGTCAACTCGCCACCTCCACGACAGTGGCAAACTGACCGCGTCCACGATTGCAGCTGCAGTTGCCGCCACCACCTCCGTGCTGGCTGACATGAACTGTCTGGTCGCCACGGAGACCGGATTCATCGCATCGGCAGCCTACAGTGCAGTCAACAGTCATTTCCATGTGCCGGCAACAGCGAGTTGGGGAGACGATAGGAGCGATAGTAACCATGGCCACTTTACCGGTCTCGAGTCGTCAACCGCCAAGTATCCCTACCAGCAGTTGGCGTCACGCCTCGACTGTCTTGAGATGATTGTCTATCTCTTTCTCTCTTTCGTCAACGGCATCGTCTGTCTCATCCTTCTTCCGCGCTACAAGCAAGACATTACAATGCGCATCAATGCAACCGACTCAATTAAAAACCACTTCCTGCATGAAATGATGTGATCTTGGCGGCCTGAACACCCCCACAACAATTCACCCATTCCGCATCAACTGTTGATTTGATGTCTTCCCAAGCATGGATGCAGATTGATCTAACCGAAATCTTCTTCGCCCCTTCTATTGGGGTACCAAATCATCTGAAGCTGTCGACTTGGAGGAAGGCCATTTTTTCGCACATCACATACACTTTCCTACGTCTTTTCTGCTTCTTGTGTACAAATTGCACATTTTTCCACCCAAACCACCGTCAA